AGTTGAACCCCTCTTCTGTGCTGGCTGGGGTACTGGCAATCCATGACCCTTGCCTCATGGAGTTCACGTTTTGTTGGGAAGGCAGTTGTGTAACAGGCAATGACAACATAGTGTGATAAATGCCACAGAAGGTAGCACAGGAGGCCATGGGAACTAGGAGGCACTGAACATGACTCACAGGTCAATCTAGACTTCCAGGACGTGACGGCCAAGTTGAATCCCAAAGCACAAAAAGTTGGGGCCAAGGGAGGCAGGGCATTGCAGATGGCTCATGGAGAACACCTGGAGTCAGCACACCTGGGTTCTGGGCCAGGTCAGGTCACTGACATGCTGGGTGACCTTGATGGAAGTTGCAACTAGGACAGTGGCTGCCTGAGAACACAGCACACCTCCTCCCATGCCACTGCCCTCTCCAAGTGGCCTCAGTGTCTACCTTTTATGACTGAGATAAGAGCAGCAGAAATGGCCTGGAAGAGAAAGTTGGGGGATGGATGGTGGTCCTTGGGATATAAACACTGCATGCCCCAGCCCTCGCCACTTGATGAGGGAAGGCTTGAAAAAAGGGCTAAGGGAAGCCCAAGGCTGTCCACATCTGTCCACTCCTGCAGAGGCTGCATTCACCAGGCATTTCCCTCCACATGCTCCCTCCGCATCCCCAACACATCAACCTGAATCCAATAACCTACCACATTTCCGTTGCCACCACCCTGTCCAGCTGCAAATGCAATGGGCTACACGTTCACATCTCCCCAGTCTTCCCTGCCCAGCCCACCTCTCTGCTGTTTGTCTTCCAGCAAAGCTTGAAGCGGGCTTCCCACTCCCTCTGCCAAGGGACACCACCCTCAACAGCTTGGAGCTCCAAATCCACAAGGTCGGTGAGAAGTGGGGTCTAGGTGGGGTCTACCACCTCCTGGGAGGGCTGCTTCTGAGCTGGTGGACACTAGGGGAGCCCCTGACTCCTACTTATATCATGGACATGATTTTTATAGAAAAAATATTTTCATTTCAAATTTTGGAGTATAAATGTCAGGTTTTGATTATCTGGAGCCTTGGCTTCATTAGAGTATCTCAGTTCCCAGTACTTCACTTCAAGCACATTGAGCATCTACAATGTGCCAGGCCCATTAGCCAGACAGGGCAGGAGAGTGTGCAAAGGGGTCAGATTAGACGCACCATTTCTGGGTTGATGAGGAGCCACCTGAACAAGCGCAGGATCTTCTCAGTGGTGTGGAAGCCACAGTGGGCCAGCAGCCTTCCCTACAGCAGCAAGGAATGGTCCTGCAGGAAAACTGGCCAGGCCTTCAAGAGGAAGACACCTGTCAGGGGCAGGAACAGGGACAATCCTAATACACTTATTGATATAAATCCAGAGTTACTAGTTTGCCAATGGCTTCACTGTTCATAAAATATTCTTACTCCAAGGTAATCCTGGACTGCATCCTCCCAAATTGTCCTGTGAGGGGAATAAACTTAGGCAGCACCCAGGTGTGCATTGTTTTCCTGGGAAGGAAAGTGACATTTATGATGTCTTCTAGACATCTAATCGGGAAATGCAGATAAACTCCTCAAGGTAGACAGCTGATGGAACAGTGTTTTTAAAAGGCTCCAAGGCCTAAGGACTTGGTTTTTGCACTGACCTGGTTTTTTGGTGAGAACTTGCCTCCCCCAGTAAAGGTTTCCCTTTCAGAAAGCTCCTATCCTATGCAGCTCAGAAAATGATTTCATCTGCCCTTTTGCCTTCCTTCCAGGACTTCCTGCTCTTAGGAGCCAACATTGATTAGGCTGAAGACTCAGGAGCAGCAGCTGTAGCTGGAAGGGTGGACAACACAACAGCTGGACCTGCCCCTGCCCTTACGAGGGTCCAGAAGCTGCCACTCTGCCGCCACTCCTAGTAACAACCCCTCTCCACAGTCACCAGGGAGCCTGCGGCACCTGAAGACATGCCTGACCCTGGAACACCTTCCCACCTTTCTTCTTTCTCCTTCCCATGTCCTTACACGCTCTCTTTGCAGCTGTCCTCAGCCTGCAGGGAGCACAACCCCGACTCCTTGTCTGCTGCTAGAAACAACTTCAGTAAAGGAAAAAGCATGAACAGTGTCTGGGCACCATGTAGCCAAGGCATCCTGGTCAACATTACACATGTAGAGCAACTATGTTGTACATGTCATTTGATGTCATGGGTGTGGAAGCAAGTCAGACAGCAGTGGGCCCAAGCCTTGTTCTGCCACTTCCTTGGTGTGTAACCCTGAGAGGGGAACACTGACCGCCCAGCCTCCAAGCTGAACAAAGGGGTTAGGGGCGCCAGCCCTGTGCAGTTGAAAATCTGTTTATAACATCTGCTCCCCTAGGATTTTACCAATAGCCTACAGTTGGCCAAAAGCCTTTCTGTTAACACATATTTTGAATAATACTATATACTGTACTGTTATAATAAAGCTAGAGAAAAATTTTCAAATTGCAGAGCTCCAAAAGCTTTTTCATATATTTATTGAAAAAAAATCCACATATATGTGGACCTACACAATTCAAACCCCTTTGTTCAAGAGTCAACTATATACGATTTACACATTTATTCAACAAACCTTGATTTCCATTTTCTGGGAATTTGCCTGCACTGGCTTCTGTCTCTGGGATTGGTGCTTTAGGAGGAATAGAGTTAAGAGAAAAATATATAGCCTCTGCCTTCATCAAGCTACAGCCAAAAACCAGGGGCCAGCAAACATTTTCTGTAAAGGTCCAGAGAGTAAATCTTTTAGGCTTTGACACCCATTTCATCTCTGTTGAAACTATTCAACATTATCACTGTTGCAGAGAACAGCCCCAGACAGTAAATGAGTGTGGTTGCGTTCCAGTAAAATTTTATTTACCAAAAGAGGCAGCAGGCCAGATCTGAGTGGTAGACCATAGTTTGCCAACACTGGTCCAAAAGAATATTCTATCAGAAATAAATAGGATTGATGCAAGTCTGGCTTACAATTACAAAATTACTAAAATACCACACCTTGTCATAGAGTAATAAAGCTCTTGGGGCCAGTGATGAAACTTGCCTCTCACCCAGTTGGGTTACACCCCAGGTTTATGACCCCAAAACGGGCCATCTCACACCAGGAACAGATTGCCTCCCCAGCTTTACCCACCCCACAAACTCCTAACGGCCCTAATCTGCAGGGATGGAGCTCCAGCGCTCTTTGGACTCCTTCAAATAGCCTTTCCCGAAAGATGTCCCAGCAACACTCTTCATATAATTAGCCTTCAACTCCTTATCTTCTACACCAGTGCTACCTGAGCTTCTTTCAATGATGGAAACACTATGTGCCTATGTGCACCGACACAGCAGCCACCGGTGGCTATCGAGACTTGAAAATTGGCTGGTGCAACTCAAGTCCCGGGTTTTAAAATTGTATTTAAATCAATTTAAATGGCCACATGTGGCTCACCACAATGGACGGCAATTCTAAAGCTCTGAGGCACTGTTCATTTTGTTCAGAGCTGTATGCCCAACACCTACCGCAGTGGCACATGGTCCATCAACACACAGCACAGCATCTCTATACTTAACAGTGACCACCTTGAGGACATAAACTGCCTTATTCACCACTGTATGCCTATTTCTAGCACAGTGCTTGCCTCATAAATGCTCAATGCTTTCTTATGAATGAACCTTCAATCCTATTCAGCTCTCCAGGTTTGTGGGCTGATTCTGTTAAGAAATCCACCATCAGGGGTTCCATCAGGCTTCCTAGCAAACTGGCACATTTCCTGCAAGGATCAAGCCTCCTTGACCATAAGCCTGGTTCACCTTGGTTGTAAGCTCTTCACAGATTTCCTCAGGCACTAAAGACCTGGGACAGTTCCTGCTTCACACACTGCAGTGGAGCGAGACAGGCATGATGACCTGCCTGGTGGGGCACGGCTGGTGCTGCCAGGCACTTAAGCACTGATCCATGTTCTACTGCAGCCCCTTCACAGCAGCAATTAAGCACAAGTCACAGCTTTCTCAAGTGGACCCTGATTCCTTCTTGTGGCATCTTTTCAGGCAGTTACAATTAGCTGACTCAACGTGGCAAACAGAAGTCAGAGGATGGTCCTTGGGGAAAGGCAGAAAAAGGATTGTGGACTTCTGGATGCCTCTGCCAGGAACTGGCTGGCAGAGTGACCACTGTAGCCATGAAAATTGCCTAACCCTGCTGAGACCATGAGGGTGTCAAACTCATCAAGGCAGGCTTGACAGCTAAAACTGTCTCAGCTTAGCCAAGGTGGTTTCAATTTCAAATGCAGAAATTATACAGTAACTCCAGCTTTTCATCACAGCCTCTGGGACGTTATTTCCTCATACAGACTCCTCCATGTATAAAACGGAGATTAAAAAAAAAGTTCACGCATGTACATCCTTAGCACATCGTCACACTGTCGCAGTTACTGGTTTTAGCCCAATTATCTCTAAAAGGCTGACCTTGAGGACACCACCAAGGATCACAAATGGCAGCTGCTCCACGTTCCCCTGCTCCCACCTTTTATTCAGTTACCTGTCCTCTCAAGCTGATACCATGTGTTTTACATTCCAGGTAAGTTGACAACTCATCCTCGTTTGCCCGGGTCTTTACTGTTTTTAGCAATCAAAGCCCCATGTCCTAGGAAACCCTTCAACTCCAGGCAAACTAGGTCAGGTCACACATTTACTCTTAAGCCAGGCCCAGAACTCCAGGCCACCCCTGCTTCTTCAATGACATCAGCACCTGTCTCACCATCACCTTCAACCCTCCCAAAGCTCTGCCCTGACTGTTCCTCAACACCCTGAACTCCCATGGGTTCTAAATCCGAGCCAACAGCAGGCACTCAGTGCCTATCCACCTGTCCTAACCGAACACCTTGAACAGCAGCCTGTGTGCCAAGCCTCAGGAGAGGCTCAAGGAGTGAACACAAGGTCCAGCTTGTGACCCACCTTCTCCATGCCCAGCCTTGCTGGCACATAGCTTGTTACTGATGTAAAAGGCAGGCGGTACAAGTCTCAAAGGTTTATTGAATGGGTGGGTTGGTGGGAGGGAGGGAAAGTGATGAGCAGCCTCCAATTCAAGAGAAAAATCACTCTTGGTTATTAAATCATTCCAGACATGGCAGAAGACATGGGGCTGGCCTTCTCTGTCCATGGCCCAGAGGTGTGGAAACTCAGAGCCAGCTGAAGTGGCCCCAAGGTCCCCAGGCCCTGCGCCTTCCCTCTGCTGTCCTGTGCAGGGTGAGCAGTGGCTCCATGATGCTCCGAGCACACGGTGGGAGGAGCCCTGGTGACGCATCACTCTTCACTCTCTGCCCCCAGGGTCCATGAACAGCCCCAAGAGAATCTAAAAGAAAGGACAGATAAGACCAATGGTTTGGAATCCCTAACAAACCAGCTCACTCTCTGGCTGTGGGTCCCCAGCTCCTGGCATTAACTCACCTGGGGGGAATTATCAGCAAACCCATATCCCAAGTCACCCTGAGGGTCACTGACCCATGGCCTCGGGACTCCCTTCAACAGTCTCTGGCTCTCAGGCTGACCTAAGAGGGAGAGGAAGCACACAAGCATTTAGTCTCCCGCACCATCTTTATCCCAAAGGACATCACTAAGAGGGTCCCAACCAACCAGGTTATGAATGCCAAACTAGGTCACCACTACAACAGAAAGGGTAATAAAGGAAACACATCTTTAAAAAGTCCAGTTTAGAAGTAAATTATTTTCTTTTAAGTGGTTCATGATCACAGCAATTAACCAGATAAGAGCATTCCACAGGAAATGAGCAGAGCGATCACGGTCAGGGGCTCTGGCCCTGAGGTCCTGCTGTACCTTGATCACAGAGATGGACCACCATCCTCAGGGGCTCTCCCACCATATTGTCATTCCTTGTCCGACCCACTGAATATGACCCAGCTAAGAAAGACAAGTCAAAGATTAACTTCCAGCAAGACTTGTTAGGGGCTCAGGTCTTTGAAGCCCAAGACTGGCAGGCCCATTTGAAGGATAAAAATGAGAAAACATCGCCAATGCCGGAGGACATTACACAAGTGAACCCCAACTCAGTTCAGAGGACTCAGTACCCAGAGGTGTGAGCTACCACATTCACATGGTTCACGTTCCCTACACATAAACCGTGTTTTCAAAATGGTCCCCACTGTCCATTAAATCCTCCCACCTGAGGAGCCCCTGGACCAGGAGCCAGGCTGTGGAACAGAACGAGCTTCTAAAGCAAGAAGGGCTCAGGGCAGTTTATCAGATGGCCCTGAGTGCAGGTGGCTCACAAACTAGTCTCACAACCTTCTCATCCCCATGAGGTGGGAAGCACGAACATCTGGGACACAGGGGCCCATCCTCAAACACGAGACACCTGAATCCAGACAGAAGAGGACTTGGCAACTAGACAGCAGCCCTCAGACTCAAAGTGGGGGATCACTGGGATGGGTACCTTGGCTTCACCTCACCTGTTACCTGGGAGCCAAGACAAGCCCCTCAGGGGCACCGTGCTGCAGCTTGAGTCTACAACGTGAAGGAGCCATCACAGGATCTCTGCTGCCCATGGAGCAAATCTACAGCACACAGAATGAAGGCAGGGCAGCCCACCTGCCGCTGGCTGGGCGCAGTCAGCGACACAATATTCTGACTTGAACCAGACAGCAAGCCAGCACGGCTTCAGTCAAGAAACACAGATTTTTTTTTTTTTTTTTTT